TACGTATTTCTTTAGTTTAGTTGAAAATTGTTGATCAATTATAGTCATGCTTAGTATCATTTTGATCGTACGAATCTCAGTAATCCGACTACGGCCATCTCGTAATAATATAATAATAAATGAAGAAACGTTATATTCTTTGTGTTCCGGTAATTCGATACCGGATTGAATTACATCGATGCGAATCATAGATAACACCGAGGCTTGCAGTTCTAGGAATTGGTAGGGATAACTGGTGGCCATATAAGTGGACAGAGTCATGATCAAAGCAATTGATGAAATTCTTCGATAATATTGAATTTCAAGAACAAGGAAGTTGGAGACATAGAGAGGAAGAAAACAGATGGAGAAAGAGAGACACGTGATTCCGTCGATCATAACACCACCACGTTAACAGCACAATTTTATTTTTCTCCGATCTGATCGATACAATCGTACAATTCTTCGATCGATAGATTTTTTTCTCCTGTTTTTTCTCAATTTTTTTTTCTCTTTTTTTACCCCTTTTTTTCTTTGTATAGTTTTCTTTAATTCTCGATTACACGATGGCGCAGGCTGCATTTTCTCCGCGACTTTTTCTTGAGTCGTATCTTGAGTTGACACGAATAAGTAACGCTTACAGTACAGTTCATTACAGATTCAATAATATATATATATATTTATATATATTTATATATATAATATATAATAGGTATTTTTTTTTATATATATATTTCTTTATGTACAGAGGGCAGCTTGCCTAGTAGGTTTGTAAACGCCGAGCAACGACTGAAGTAATCGATTGGACGCTATTTTCTTTTTTTTTTATTATTATTATTTTCTTTATGCTTTTTTTTATTTTATTATGATAATTGACGCCAAATATCGATGCGCTTGTTTGCGTTGCTCCTCTATCGATTCGTGGTCAATTATATTTTATGCAAGGCTTAAAAAATCCTAAAACAATTATTATTTGGAATGTACATGTACAGTGACGACGACAATTTTATTCATTGGCACAGACAACGTTGTTTTATAATATTCTGCCTGATTTTTTTTTTTTTATTTAGTTTCTTAGGGAAGTTTCAAATCTTTTTTGCAGAGAAATAGCCAGATTTTAATAAAATATTCAACGTTTATAGGTTCTTTTGAAAACAATATTAATTGAACTAGAATTTAGCGAATTCGATGAATTTGTCCATAATACAATATGTTGGTCCAATTTCGATATTCGATTTTCATGTATTGATTTTTCACTAATTGGAATTTAGAACAAGTCATCGGTATGCTTTTATCATTTATTCTCATCGTGCAACTGCTTAATGATAATAAATTATTATATTAATTATTATTTATGCTTTAGATTCCAAAGTTACGATATACAGATTTAAACTTCCCGCCGTAAGTATCAAGACACTTACTAATACCTAGTATACTTACATATCGAATTTTATTTTCCATTTAGTTCATTATAAATTTCTTATTTGATCGTGATGCAAAATTAAGAACGCTAAAAATATTTGTTAAAATTTCTCAATAAACCTGACCAAGTAAGTGCCCTAATACTTACACAGAATTTTATAGGAAAATCTGGTCTGTGCCAATATCTTTATTCTTCAAAGTAAATTAATCTTCGTTCGACGAAGAAAATTAACGAATGCCCCGTTATGAATTCGTTGAGAAACATTTACTCTGATGTATCGACGTTTGCTCAAGTAATACAAATACGACACTGTATAGATAGTTGTTCCTCGAAGTAAATCGGGTCGTTTTTAATCCCTCCAATCTGACCTGTCTCACGCTCGAATACTATGCCGATAAAAAATACTCGAAACCGTTTTAAGGACAGTATCGAATCTCTTATATCACTTTCAAAAATCGTTTCGAAAATTGGGGCATCGACGGACACGTACCTCCAATCAAAATGGCCGACATGCTTCACCAAATGGAGCCTCTGCTCCGGATTGATCCGCACTTTTCCTCCGTTTATTGTCACGCAATCTTAGGAAGCAACAGAATTTTACATTTTCTAATTTTTTGTTTGAACATGAATTAACGCGTTCTTGGAGATATTTTTGGACAATTATCTCATAGTTTCGTAATCTTTTAATTATTAGGGGATCTTGAATTGTTAGGTTAAACTTTCCAATGATTAATGAACTTTAAAGTGTTACATAATTTTTTAATTGTTGATAAATCTTCAAATATTTAATAAATCTCCAATTATTAACAATCTTTCAACATAAATAATTTTTTAGAGCTCTATAAACATTCAATTATTAAGTAATACCCAATTATTCAATAGTCTTTCACTTATCCAATAATTGTCCGATTTTTTAAGAATTTCCCAATTATCGAACAATTGCCCTAATGTTGATAAATTTCCAATTGTGCACTAATTTTTAAGTTACTAATTTCCCAATTATTCAATCATTCTCTAATTATTAACAAATTTTCAGTCACTACACAGCCCTCCAATTGTTGCTCGAATTCTGCTATTTCTCGGAAACTCTTCACCTCAATGTCTTTATCCAAACTGCACGATCTTGTTAGAGAACGAACGTTTTCTCACAACGTGAGAAATTCTCGAATTTTCCTACTTCTTGCACCGACACACACGAATTTATGAAAATTTCCCACCTCAATGGGCAAACTTGTAGCTTCGAGAAAAACGAAAGCCTCCCAATGGAAGACGAGACTTTTACGAATTTTTCTCGAAGAAATTCTTTCAAAAGAAAAAAAAGAAAAAGAGGAAAAATATTCACGATGCACAAGTGTGTCGAGCGTCCACGTCACCGTACTTCAGCCGTCGCAACAATTCTATTAACATCGTCTCAGGTGCCCGAGCTTCGATCGAGCCTTCGAGGATCAAAGTTTTGAAAGTTGTGCATCAGATCGACGTCGTCGAGAATAATAGGTTCGAGGGAGAACAGCCTCCAGAAAAAATCGAGTTCCTCTATAAGAAGAAAGGAAACGCCATTGAGAATACAACACATACAGATATATTTCAACTCTTATTTTTTTTTTTTTTTTTTTGCAAATTCTATTCACCAGAGCTGCAACTTTTTGTTCGACGATTTGCGCCATGGCGAATTCAGAAGTGTTTATTAACACATTCGCTGCTATTTATTAACCCTTTTAAGATCCGAATGTTTCATGGACTGTGCAAAAATGAATTGAGAAATATTCTTCGATTGTTGTTGGTAAGAATATATTTTTTCCTGATTTTCGATAATTGGGAAAAGAAGCGAAAATTGAGAATTTTATGAAATATAATTATTAAATGAAAAGAACATTAGTATCGAAATTGATAACAAAAATGAGTACAATTGCATTAATTAAACAAAAATGATTTTAGTATAAAATTTTCAAGAATTAAAATCAATATCCTGTTCGCTATCTTGTATTTTTGTAATTATAATATAATAGTCTTCTAAAATCGAAGATATCTGAATTGACGCACCGTATGCGTCAATAGCAACGAATGTGTTAAGCCCCATTCACGCCTGAAAAAAATAATTTTAACCATAAATCGGTTAAATTATGTTATCCTATCCCAAACGCAACAAAATTCAATCTGACTCACATTCGATAGATATGTCATAACTTCATTTTCAACATTTTACATTTTTCAAGTGTGAAAGGGACTTAAGGCGCTTCTTCGTTGAAAATTCTTGGTTATCGAGGCAGCTGCGCATGAAATCGTCAAAGATCATCGTTATCTAATAATTCATGCTCCGTCGAAACGAATTACAGTGATCTTCAGAGAAACAAACTGATCCGTGAAAAGAAGATTGGAAAAATGGCGGGTGAGATCAGTTTGTCCCTGAGAAATATTTCTAAGAAACATGGCTGCTTGTTCGAACGACCCGCCATTGGAATGTCTCATTTGCAGTGAAACCGAGTCTTAGGATGAATTGTTTCGATCAATTTGGGTTCGATGCACTCACGTTCCGTTTCACTTCAAATGGCTCGCTCTTTCGTTATTGTCCTACTCACGTCGATGAATCGAGCAGAATTTTCTGTCTAATCAAAACAATTTTTGAAACCAAAGGAAGTAATATTTCTCCTTTTTCAATTTACGAGTATCAATTTTGCATAAATTTTTCATTCAGCGAATTCGTATTCCAATGAGAAAGATGGAAATGAACAGCGTGACAAGAACGTATCCCCACCTTGAGCCGCTGGGAATGGCGCTAAATTTAAATCTGTTAGGGGTACAAAATCGTAGAGATACGAAATATAAATTTCCTCGTCATATAGGTCAGATATATCGCGGTTCCGCTCTTTGATCGAGCTTTTCACGATGTCTGACCCTTTCTTACAATTTCCCCGTCGAACCCAAGAAAAATACTGCAACGTCTGCTCGTAATCGGACTCGGATTAGCTCGATGGCACCTCCGCGTAATCAGGCTACAACCATCATACATATTTATATATGTATACAGGGCGAATCGCGTGACTAATTGCTCCTATAGTCGTCGGTGAATCGATCATCAAGCTTCTGATCGAATATCTAAGAAGAAACGAGGGAAAATGTTGGATCTTTTAGTGTAGGAGGTGTGGGGTCTATAATACGTGAAAGGATAGCAGCGTCTCTTACGGTAAGAAGTGGAACTATCCTTAACACAGTGGGGATCAAATCTTCTTTCTACTTTGTTCCGGGATAAAAAGTTCTATTAAAAGTGATTCGTTACTAATAAACAATTTATGAATCAGAAACGAAACATTAAAATATACAAAATATTGTTGAAACTATTAAATATCATAAAGTTATAATTCTCAAGTAATTAGATTCCCAAATTGAGCTAATGGCAAAAGATAGGTTAGAAACTAAAACATAGATATTGAAATTATTGTGAAGGGCAACTTTGCACGTTGAAAATTTCAAGTTTGGGTGATCCTCAAATATCGAAATTCCCAAATTTGATTAATGACAGAAAGATGAGTGAAGAGCTTAAAAGGAAGGAATTCAAAGTTATTATCCAGTACGATATTCAAAATTAAACAAATCTACGAAAATTAATTTCCAATAATTTAAATTGTCAAATTGTTGTAATAACAAAGGATAGATTAGGGACAAGACCAAAGCGACTGATCCAAATTATCCCAAAGAACAGTATGCCCAAATCGGTGCAATGATAAAAGATAGGTTAGGTCTCAACGACTCGGCGTTTATCTAATTCGAAATTTGCCAAATTTCTGCTTCGGATTCTCAACGATCGTTTTATCAACACGGGACGCAATCTTCGTCAAATGGAGTAGCACGGTTCGCCCTGTGCATATACATTATTTATGTGCACATATATAAATATATCGATCGAGAAAGGAGGAAAGAAAAAGAGCAGAACGAAGAACGGCCGGAAACATAGGTCAAAGGAACGATGAACAAAGTGAACTAGAGCCAGCGTTTATCACTCGACCTTCCTCTTCCTCTCTTTCTCTCTCTCTCACTTGCTCTTTTCCCGCATAGCTACACACTCGCACGCATAGCTACACACTCGCCATACACACAAGACCACGTGCACAAACGTTCACACATACATATACAGACATACACTCGTTTTTCTTCTAATATTTCTTCATCTTTTCCCTTCTTCATCTTCATCTTCATCTTCATCTTCATCTCCTTCTTCTTGTTTTTCTTCTTACTCATTCCTATCCTTCTTATTATGCTTGCAAAGCAATTAGATGGGCGTCCATGTTCTTAGCAATTACAATTGTCGTCCGTTGGATTGGTCGGCTGATCGGTGAGTCGTTGACCCTTCGCCTGACCCATTCCACCCGCCAGCAAGGTCGGATCGTTGTCCAAGGACTCGCTCATCTTGTCGCATATTATGTCCACCAGCTGCTCGAATACCGTCTGTAAAATGGAATTTGCTTGGGTTTAATTGCCTTAATATTTGAGGAACATAAGGGGAAAAAGATTCCGAGTAATTGAGCTGCACTAATTGACGTGATCGTGTGATTAATGATCCACTAGCGGAGATTGATTCACACCCTCTTTTCAAACAAGGACACGTTTGTAGATCTAACTTCTCGTAGAGTCGCATAATTAATCTGGATACAGTCTAATTTTACGTCCTAATATCAATTTTCCTTACGTTGTTTCTAAAAGAGCCTAACCTAACCTGATCTAACCTAACCTAATATTGGCTTACTCTGAACCTCACGTACACAGACTTGACCTGTTCGAATCTCAATTTTGTTTAACACTTGTACCGTCAGTCAGTTGGTCGTCGTCAGGTTTACACGACTTTTCAATGATTCAGTGAAAGTGAATGGTCAGAAGAAGGTTATAATCCCAATTTCTGTAACTCTATGGATGTAACAATCGGCAAGTAAATAAACAAATTCATATAACGCATGGGCGTGCAAAATAGATTAGGATAACACGATAAAAATTCAATCATGACGATGGATTCGAGGGAATTTTCTCAAGAGGTGAAAAGTAGGTTGCAGCAATCAGCGAGTGACAGTAAGATCTACGTCGAAATATGCGGCCATCGAAGTGTTAAGTTACTTCTAAAAAATTTAGTGTAGCCTCTGTGTAGTGTAATGTAGATATTGACTTGATCTAAGTCTAAAATAGATATATAGCTCGTCTTCTTCTACTTTTGCTATAGAAATAATTCGTGGTCAATCGACAATTGAAAACAGCTCAACAATGTCTCTACTCTGTGGCCCTAACTCTTCTCGCAGACTTTACACGTTTACTCAAACAGTAGACATCTGATAAGTTTCATATTTTGGCTCAATCATATTTACAACATAGCATGCGATTCTCTTGATACTTCAATTTGCTCAATATCTATAAACTTTCAAAATCGGTTCCTTCATACGTATTGAATGTTTGACGTTGTTTGATATTGTCTCATGTCGCCTGACATTTTCTAACGTCCTTTTCTCACATTGTTTAATGTTACTCGACCTCGTATAATATCTTTTATCGTTGTTTGACATTGTTTGATGTTGTTTGACGTTGTTTGACGCTGTTTGAACAGCACTTTCAGTAACGAAAACACTAGAAATCATCGTTAATCCTCTACAAATTGCTTGCCTTGCTATCGCTTTATGGTACCAAGGTGTTTTCCAATAGAAAAGCTGAAATCTCATGTACGTCACGCGGTCTAAAGGTGGACGCGGATAACCGTGGGTAGAAAAATCGATCGAATGGACGTCGATATGCCAGTGCCAATAGGTTTGACCCGTCGTGTTGGGATGATTAATGGGTGTAGATGAGCGGTAATTGAGGATGCCTGGTCGAAGGTAATGGCACACTGTTTACACACACCATCGCGGATGGAAATAAATGTAGAAACGTGACGCGATAACCTTCTCAACCGCGTGATAGTTATGTATTGGGTAGGATAATGGGCTGGTTAAACAGTCGAAGAAAAATGAAAATTGACGTGGTGTTTAACTATTGGTAGTTATACTTTGTACAACTTCCACGAAGAAAGAATAATAGATCTCTGGAACCAATTTTAAAGAAGCTAATTTTTTGAGCTTAACCCAAATCCTAATGCAATTTTGGCTTCTATTAAAATTTGGCTTTAGCTCATAAACTAATAAAAAACATTCCTGATTCTTGTGCCTCCAAATGGTAATCAATTTGAAGCCGTGTTCTAATGAAACGAGCAATGGTCATTTTGAATTCTATTAAAATTTTGCTTTAGCTCATAAACGAATAAAAAGCATTCCTGATTCTTGTGTATCCAAGTGATAACGAAGCTAAAGCTGAGTTCTAATGAATCTAGGTTCGCTGAATAAAGAGTCGTCTAAGATTCTGATGTCTCCAAAGGGCAATTAAGCTAAAGCCAAGTTTCATTAGGATAAAAAATTGATCTATTGGAACTTGGCTTTAGTTTGACACTAACCTTACCAGGCCAAATGAACGGTTTCAAAATTTAATTAAAAATCCTACGCTCCTTGTTATTTCATTCGTTCGTCTAACTTTATGTAAATTTGTATATTGACAAAAACTGAGAAATTCGTTAGTCAGGCAATGTTTTTTATTAATTTATATGCCAATATGAAATTCTAACTTAGTCTTTGCTAATATTATGATATTATAATCTTAAAAGTATTTTCATCAAAATATTTATCAAAATATGAATTTTTAGAAGAATCCACAATGTGATTATAAATTAATTATAAACAAATGAAGATGATCCAGATTCTGTACTCACCTTGATGTTGATGTTTTCTTTAGCCGATGTCTCAAAAAATTGGACGCCTAATTGGTCCGCCAATTGCTTGCCCCTTTCGGTAGTTATCACCCTTTCGTCTTCCATGTCGCACTTGTTGCCAACCAGGATAACCTGAGCGTTGTCACACGAATAAGTTTTGATCTGTGTGACCCAGTCCTGCACCGAATTGAACGACTCCTCGTTTGTGATGTCGTACATTAGGATGAAGCCCATCGCGCCTCTGTAGTAGGCCGTCGTTATCGTCCTGTATCTTTCCTGACCCGCGGTATCCTGCAATAAAACAGATCCACGGATTAAAATTAGCCTTTTGTGACTTTCAAGGTTATTAAATAGTAACTAAAAATATGCCGATTGATGGGACTAATAAGTCTTCTTGTGTGAATTAGAAAATCCATTGAAACAAATAAATAAATAAAATCAATTCAATTATAATTAATTAAAATGAATAGTAATATTTTTTAAACTACAATAATTCTGACAGGAATAATAAAATTATGAGAAGCTTTTCTGTGAATTTTAAAATTCAGTGATAATTAATCGATAAGTTTTCTCCGAGCATTTTAATATACAGGGTGATTGGTAACTGGTGGTACAAGCGGAAAGGGGGTGATTCTACGCGAAAAAAGAAGTCGAAAATATGGAATAAAAATTTAAAAATTTAAAAAAATAACGTCAATCGAGACAACGATCTACAGTGAGATCCGTTATAACGTACCGCACGCGTACCGAGCCAAAATTCAAAGTCGATTTTCTCGAAAACAAAGCCTCGAACGAAAAATTTTTATTCTATATTTTCGACTTCTTTTTTCGCGTAGAATCACTCCCTTTTACAATTTATTGACAAAATATTTTCAACGTATTCTTTCTGCTTCTCTTTTTAATTCCTTGTTTTCAATTTATTCCAGTTGTTTTTTTTTTCCTATCTGTCGATCGAATTTACAAAGAGAAATTAATAGAGAACAGCTATAGGCGGCATGTTCTTTCTTCGATTTGTTCTGAAATATTAAAAAGCTTCAAAGGACAGAAATACTGGTAGAGAAAGAAGTATATTTTTGAGCGATAGATCGATTTACAGTTATACACGTGAAATAAAGCCGAAGGGCAAATGTAAATTCGATCGACAGATAGGAAAAAGAAAACAACTGGAATAAATTGAAAACAAGGAATTAAAAAGAGAAGCAGAAAGAATACGTTGAAAATATTTTGTCAATAAATTGTAACGTTCATCCACAAGCACAGCGTATCGCACGTGGCTTCATTTATCAACCGAATCGAACGTTATCGCTTGCTTGTCCAAGACACTCGTAGTAATCGTAATTTATTTCATCGTTTTCAAACAATAATCATTTAAACAATATTTTTCATCAATTATTATAATGGTTCAAGATATTACTATTGTTCTTTTAATAACTTCTTCTAATTTTCTTTTAGAGAGAAATTTACCAATTTCACAAATGGTGTGCCAATTATTTCAGTACACTGATAATTGTTTTTTAACTTTTGAAAATTTCTACTGGAAATTTGTTGCTTCTATTATCCATGTTAATTATCGCAGAGAATAATACCGTTCATTTCCTTGAATATTAAGGGAATTTATTTTATTTATTTCTCAAATTAAATACAGGGTGGTTGCTAACTGGTGGTACAAGCGGAAAGGGGGTGATTCTACGCGAAAAAAGAAGTCGAAAATATGGAATAAAAATTTAAAAATTTAAAAAAATAACGTCAATCGAGACAACGATCTACAGTGAGATCCGTTATAACGTACCGCACGCGTACCGAGCCAAAATTCAAAGTCGATTTTCTCGAAAACAAAGCCTCGAACGAAAAATTTTTATTCTATATTTTCGACTTCTTTTTTCGCGTAGAATCACCCCCTTTCCGCTTGTACCACCAGTTAGCAACCACCCTGTATTTAATTTGAGAAATAAATAAAATAAATTCCCTTAATATTCAAGGAAATGAACGGTATTATTCTCTGCGATAATTAACATGGATAATAGAAGCAACAAATTTCCAGTAGAAATTTTCAAAAGTTAAAAAACAATTATCAGTGTACTGAAATAATTGGCACACCATTTGTGAAATTGGTAAATTTCTCTCTAAAAGAAAATTAGAAGAAGTTATTAAAAGAACAATAGTAATATCTTGAACCATTATAATAATTGATGAAAAATATTGTTTAAATGATTATTGTTTGAAAACGATGAAATAAATTACGATTACTACGAGTGTCTTGGACAAGCAAGCGATAACGTTCGATTCGGTTGATAAATGAAGCCACGTGCGATACGCTGTGCTTGTGGATGAACGTTACAATTTATTGACAAAATATTTTCAACGTATTCTTTCTGCTTCTCTTTTTAATTCCTTGTTTTCAATTTATTCCAGTTGTTTTCTTTTTCCTATCTGTCGATCGAATTTACATTTGCCCTTCGGCTTTATTTCACGTGTATAACTGTAAATCGATCTATCGCTCAAAAATATACTTCTTTCTCTACCAGTATTTCTGTCCTTTGAAGCTTTTTAATATTTCAGAACAAATCGAAGAAAGAACATGCCGCCTATAGCTGTTCTCTATTAATTTCTCTTTGTAAATTCGATCGACAGATAGGAAAAAAAAAACAACTGGAATAAATTGAAAACAACGAATTATAAAGAGAAGCAGAAAGAGTACGTTGAAAATATTTTGCAATAAATGAAAAATATGGACAATTAGTTGGGAACACCGAGCCAGAGGAAACAGTGAAATATTTGTGTTCCAATAAATTGAAACATATGGGAAAAGCAATATTATACCGAATATTCATATCGTATATTATTTATGTAATCTATTATTATTATTATTATCGCGTTATTATTACTTTCGTTCGTATTATTAGTCGGCAACTAAGTGGGTGCGGATTTTGTCATTAGGTGGTATTGACAAAATCCGCAATCACTTAGTTGCCAACCTAAAAGATGTACGTCATCGGACTGAAACAAAATCCGAGTGAATTTCAGTTCTTTGATCTCCCACATTTCAGAAACGAATTGTCAGCTTGAAAATTCGTTGCGATTCGTGTCTTGTGATAAGACACGATTCCTGTTATCAGAAAATTCAATTACAAAATCGTGGGACCGGGAATGGCTGGAAGAAGCCGCCATTTTTGTTCACCTGATATTTGTTTATTTGAAAAAGTACGTCTTCTTGCTGAGAAACTTTCATCTAACTCGTATAAAGTTCTTGCCATTGTGTACCGACCTTTATGAAATATCAGTTATTCTACGATGTACGTGATAATACGTTCAAGTCACGGTCCAACTTTCGGTGCTTTCAGTTTAAGGTTAAGTGTTACTAGGGTTAGGTTGGGGTTAGGTTGTTAGGGTTATCGTCTTAAAATTTTATGTTTCGCGAGTTTTGACACACACACACTCAACAGAGGCTTCACACATGTATCGTATCTCCTCGAAGCGATCTAATCCTACGTAATCTGTACCAGGTATCATCTAGCAAACAAATTATGACGAAGTTTGGCATAATTTAATAGATACCGTTTAAATGAATATCCGTGGGTCGTCAGACCAATTCACCTGATGACGTTGAAGATACTACACTTGGAGTCGTGAATGAAAATAAAGAAAAAAAAAATAGCAGCTAAAAAATACAAAATGGATAAAATGATATAATTAAGATACATAAATAAATATAACAAGTAGCAATCTTCTCATAGACAGGCAGGTTTCAGGCATTTTACACTTTGTCTAAAATGACATTTTTGCAACATGTTGCTCGTTTAAGTTTAACAAGTTTGATGGAAATTTTTGTTCAAAAATATAACGTCGAATCAAAGTGAACAAAAGAATTATTAAAATATTGTTCAGTTTCGTTGATAAGATTCTTTCTCTTCAAAAAGTATCGACCCTACTCTGTCACCTAATATATTGTCTATGATAAAACTCGTTTCATCTCTTTCCACATTTTTCAATTTTTAAAATATTCTCGCCATAAATTGTAAGAAGAAAGAAATAACATAACAGAGATAGTGGAAAAGCAAGGGGAAAAACGTACGGGGTAATACTGACCCAGATCTGTAGCTTGACCCTTTTGTCGTGTCTGAAGACCGTTTTCACCTTAAAATCGATGCCCACGGTCGATACGAAGGCCGAGGTGAAGGAATCGTCCGCGTAGCGGAACAAAAAGGACGTTTTGCCGACCGACGAGTTGCCGATGATCAGCAACTTGAACATGTAGTCGAAGTTCTGGTCCGCGGCCTCCTTCTGAAACTTTGGATCCTGGCCGGCCATCTAAAAACAGTTCCACATTACGTAAATAATTTTTATTTCGCCTCTTTTCGTAATTACATCTCGCCTATTCCACATTAGACACAATCTCGTTCATTTGCTGCAACAACTCGAAGTTCATCGTTCTCGAGTTATTGGCATTTCATTTAATTAACAAGCTATTGGTAGAGAAAACAGTGTTCTGTTAAGTGCGTTGAGCGATGTTGGGAAATTGGTCGCGCGAGGGCAACAGCGTCGCTGTTGCATCATCACGAAACTGTAAGAACATTTCAACTCGTAACTTTTTTAGGTTATGTCACTGTTGCAGCAAATGAACGATTCGTAATCTCACGCTGCATAACCACAATCTCATTCAGCCGTAACACAGACTCGTATTGTCATATTTAGTCGATAGGTTTGTGAGTATACAACTAAAATTTACAGACAAACGGAATGCACTTCGAGGCTTAACTCGATGAATTGTTCGTGGTATCATACATTATCGAGCATATGCGATTGTTATCCAACAAGATCTATCGGGTGTCTTTTTTTGATTCTACATTTGATGTACATGCAGTAGCGTGCACGAATGTGCAGCAGCCTGTTACCGTTTTGCTAATGTGATTGTCCATTCGACTCGTATGTTTTCAGCCACGTTTTTGTACTTCGCTAATGACAGCGTCAATTTATGTGAAATATGACAACGTAATTTACATACGCTCCTTTCGTATCATAATTTTATGTGCAATATTTGCATGTATTACGTCCATATGCAAATTAATATTTCGATAATATCTTGCGATTATTTTTCTCAAACTTCGCTTGACTTCTGGGACACCCTGTATGTTCATTCGTATCGTATAACTTATTACGTCGCTATTTAAAAATTTATTAGAAAAATTGCCTGTGAATATGTTGTATCGTACGTTACGCCAACTATGTTGCAAACAGATCGAAAACAAAATATGACGAAACTTTGTTAGTACACTTAGCGTTATTTATAAACGCGTGGCATATGTTTACTGAGTTTGGAAGAAATTTAACACGCAAATATGCTCAGACACTATATGTATTTTAAAAGTTTATTATTATAACAGGTAATGGTACAATTTGTTGCAGTTTCTGCCACTTGTATTATACCTGTGACTACGTTCGAATGTATTTTTGCAACATTTCCAAGCAAACAATTTGTCGCGGAATTCATAAGAAAAAGAAGCATGTATCAAGACACAACCTAACTCTGGTCTTAATAATTTTAATAATTTCCAACAACAAACAGCAAAGGCAACAATTTTCCAGATAATACCAAATACCAAATAATAGATGCAAAATAACAGATTTTTATTTTAACATTTTTCAATATATTTTGTATACCACGTGGTATACTCAGGAAACAATTTTCTAATAAATTTGCAACATTGTCTCGAAGTTCCTACCCTCCTAAAGGCCCACATTTCTAGAAAAAACCGACAAGAACAGGCTAATTCAATTTTCTAGCGTATCTCTGTTAGCATTCTGCGACTCTGTCTAACGCTTTCACCGGCTGTTCACTGTCGATTAAGCCACTATGAATTTTCCACGACGCGTTCGCCACCTTCGATCGAGCAACACTGCAACATAGCAATTAGCGTTATCGCGACGAAACAAACGCATGTCGGTACCGGAAGTTTGCTGTGCGGGGTAATATCGACGATGGACATCAGTCGAGTCATCCTCGTCCTCAGTTCCAACACCGAGTCCTTGACAGGTGGCCTGCTATTTTTCGTCGATTTCTCTGTTTGACTCTTCGGCCCTTCGTCTGCCATTTTCCAGCAACCAATTTTTCCAGAATTTAATTTCTCCCGGTAGTACGTTCGATAGCCTGGATCCGATTACTTTGAAATTCCAAAATTATGGAAAACGTGGAAATTTTGTCCAATTTCCCTTGACAGAAAATATACGAACTGCCACTTTTTTCGATAATTTTCGATAATTTTTCTCAGAATAACGAGAAAACACAGATGCAATTATTTTTCATAATTTTGCTAACCTCTGATTCGAAAATAAATGGCAAATATTCTGTCGGAATTAAAACGAGCCACACAATGGCACCTGGACACAATTTTTTACCAAATCGACAACCCGTGAATATTTTTAAGACGATTCCACTAAACGAAAACTTCCTACGGACTTGGAAGCGTTACACTGTTTTTCGTCATTTTTATTCGACACTTTCTACGACGATCTGGCACAAAGGTACAATAGGCGTAACAAGAGCAACGAGGTTCCAATTAGTTGGGAAATGGCTAACTGATAGACGAATGGCCAACGTGGCTATGTTTGTGGTTTCTTTCGTTTTTGCCCGTTTCTTGTCATTGTTCTTTCCACGATATCGCGGTTTCCTGATACGTGTGAACACGCCCACGCAGGGCTGGAAGAAGAATGTCACACGTGCGGTGCCATTGTCTGCTTCGTCTATTGCGTTTGCCTATCAATTAATGTCAATTGTAAATTATTCTTTGCTCGATGCTATCGACGTTATAACGTCTCTACAATTGCAGAATACAAATGTCTGATGTACAGGATGATTTACAAAATTGCATCGGCCTAGCATCGTTTGACGCAGGCATCTCCACTTCGATCTACGTCCAACGCGTTCACATTCTAATCTACCTAGTTTTTGCTATCTCGTTATTTGTCGTCGTTATCTTGTCACTTGCGAGTTATTTTTCCAAACGTTGTTTCGCAATCTTATTGACGCGATTGAAAGACCGCGAAAGGTACGACACGTTTGAATCATCCTGTAGACGTTAGAAATCATCCTGCTGGCGTGAAACATAGCAAAAATTTGTTCTTACATTTGGAAACAGTTCTTTCTGATTCTATATGCGATTACGTGTTGCACGTGTAAAAAAGAATACAAATATCGTTGAATTACCGAAATAGTTTCAATTGTGAATTATTATTAATAATATGGAACATAGTTTTGTCAATATGTTCGTATGAAATATGTTCCAATTTGTTCGCAAGCAGTGGAGGTCGGTTCTTTTTGTACACCGTGTACATTACTGAATGCAATTGGCGGCACATCTGTAGCCATGACCGACCACATGATCGATAATCCCACAATGGGGACAGTCAAAACCGATAACCTCCAACTACAGGTCCGTACAAAAAGCACGTGGGCTCGGCCGAACCATCACTCATCGATCACCAAATATTTCAATTATTCGAAGCAGTAAGGGCGACCCAATACGATAGGTCGAAGAAGGAGCTCCATTGTAATTTTAGTCGTACGATTTTCTTGCATCAGTTAACTAACAATAATGTAGGCTTATAATTTATATTTGATATTAGTATTAGTTATATACATATTTTTTAATACTAAAAACACATATTATTTTTAATAAATTTATAATATAGTAATATATCATGTTCAATAAATAACATATATTTAATATTAAAAAATATATGCATATCATAATATATAACTTTTATTATAATATATTACATTATGACACATATATGTATGTGTGTATATATTTAATATTATATTTGCATGCGTATGTATATTTAATATATTTAATATTAAATATATATATACGTATAACTAATACTCATATAACTATAATTATAGTAATAATATATTCATTGAATATATTATTAAATTATTATTAAATTATTTCATTGAATATAAGTAACACTCACATAATTGCAAAATATATAACGATATTACATTATGTATAATAGTATAACAATCAAATTTATAATAACAGTTAGCTAACTCCTTGAGAATTTATTAGCAACATCAGTAAATTAACAATAACGATAACTTCTCCTAAAAATCAAATGCCAAATACGAATATTCCTCGACCGTGAATTGGATCGAGTTGTTTCGTAGAAGAGGCAGCGAATCGGTGGTTGGCAATCGTCAGTTGCTTCCTAAGTCGATAGGAAGACAACGAGTTCCGCGTCCGTGACTTTTTCCGGGTGCCAGGTGCGGCTATACATATCGTCGACCCACGTGCATTGCATCCAGCAAATGTATCCAAACAAAAGCCCTTAAATATCTGTTTCTACATGTTCGTAATCCGACTTAATGCTTCCTAGACAGACATTGGCTCTTACTGTGCTGCATATATAATAGGAATGACACGTACCATTCCATAATTCCAAATGGTGTCATTGTTATTCGTATGGAATTTCCAGTTCTACGATATGAACCACAAATACCACATAAATCGAGCCTTCCAACTGTCCTGACTCTGCTACAGCAACATCGATAACGTAAAAACTGTCATTTGCTTCCATTGTCACCAACAAAGAAGAGAAAGAAAGATCTGCCAACGTTTACGATTCTCTTCTTCCGCAGGAAGAAATCTGCGATTTTAAAAAACAAAAGACCACCGAATCTCCTACGATTCAATCAAAAATTGATCTGCCAAAACGATTTGCAAACGCTTATGATCCTGTTCTTCGCTGAAAAGAGACCTTCGGTTAAAAAAAAAAAACGAAAAAATATTTTGGAGTTGTTGGTTGACCAACTTGATCAAATGAATCGATCAAAAAAAAAGAAGAAAAAAGAAAAGAACGTAAAGTGATCCAGTTTTGAAAATGCAAGGGATAAACGTCGCAACGGGAAAAGGCGAATTCTTCTGAAAAAGAAAAAGTTCGACCTTCGATCGAGTCAGCGATTACAAGGTCTGAGAGCGAAATGTAGCGCTGAACGAAGGATCAGCTGCGATTTCGTGTGCAGTTATTCCGTAAAATAAATTTAAAAAGAGGAGAGTCTATAAATAAACTGGACGTGGAGGCAGAGAAACAGAGAGACAGACAGAGAGAGAGAGAGAGATTTTTACTTCGGGGTGGGAGGCTCTTATCGATTTTCTTGGCCGAGCCACACAGCCATAGCTACCAGATTTCCCTCGGATTTCAAGTCCTATCGTTTCCGCCTCGCTTCATTCTACGATGCTCGTCCAACTAAAAACTACTACCATCCCTTCGATAAAAGAGCATGCAGACGCTCGCCAGACTTCTAACAAATAACCCAAGAAGAATTGCTCGATAACCAACCTCTTATCTTCCCCTCTAACTATATCGCACTGACGATGAAACTCGAAGAAATCTACTAACGTCATAGTGGAAGCTAGCTATGGATGTGGCACCACTCGAAATCGTCTTTTGTATTTTTTAAATAAATTACAAAAATTAATCAATAAGAAGAAAGAATAAAGAAAATAACGGAAGTAAATTAAAAAATTAATATACTGAAAGAACAAATAAAATAAAAAAAGCAAATTAAGCGAAGCAAAAGTTAAGTGAAACGAAGAAACGTGATCTCTTCAATCTATTTCGATCTACCGAAACATTTATTCACAGCTACGTAATCTCTTCAATTTCCCCATTTTTGTAAATGGGATATTATGTTTGTCATAAACGTGCGCGATAACAATCATAAATCAATAAAAAAAGTAAAATAATTTCTCACGAAAGACCCATTTCTTCGCATCTCTTCCGACAACCGTTAAGCGTCAAACTGAAGAGTCAAAGTTCATGCGCTTGGAGAATTGAAACAAGCGACCCGGGACAGTTTTCAAGGCGTAGGAAATCACGAACATCCGACAACTTTCATAAGATTAACGATACAGACTCGAATATCTTCGTAAGGTCAATTATGACCCATTGATTTTGGGTCTATCTCGTCACACGACTCAGGACTCTCTCGAGATTCTCGCGCGAGGCTACCTCGAACGTCACGTTCTCTGTTCGCATTCCACAGGCAACCGCTTCCACAGATTGCACAATTCTGGAATAGCGAAATGATATCGCAATATCTTTTCACGTGCGAAGGACATTGCAATTGGTGTAACAGTTGCAACTCTGTGCATTTAAGAGCCAAGGAAGATTGTTGTTAACGAAATATGGTCAGCTAGTCTGTACAGGATTTTCTTCCCTTTCTTCGTCCCTCAGGTGGACGAAAGACCGACGTGTACCTGGTGTTCTTCTTCTACTTGATCAACCGTTTGAGTCCCAAGGGTGTTTGAAAGAACAGGGTCAAAAAATCTCAAACAACGTGGCAACGCTTGTCTTCGTCGATTGCGAAGAGAACTAAGATAGCGCTCGTCATATTTGTAATTTGTACGAAGTACATCGATCTTATTATACAGGGTGGTTGGTAACTGGTGGTGCAAGCGGAAAGGGGGTGATTCTACGCGAAAAAAGAAGTCGAAAATATAGAATAAACATTTTTTCTTTTACATTTTTCCATCGAGACAACGATCTACAGCGAGATCCGTTATAACGTACCGTACGCGTACCGACCCAAAGTTCAAAGTCGATTTTCTCGAAAACCAAGCCTCGGACGAAAAATTTTTATTCTATATTTTCGACTTCTTTTTTCGCGTAGAATCACCCCCTTTCCGCTTGCACCACCAGTTACCAACCACCCTGTATAATAAGATCGATGTACTTCGTACAAATTACAAATATGACGAGCGCTATCTTAGTTCTCTTCGCAATCGACGAAGACAAGCGTTGCCACGTTGTTTGAGATTTTTTGACCCTGTTCTTTCATGCGCACTATTAGTTTACAAATATTCCAAGTTTTCTTCAATAAAAATTATTGAGAAGATAGGAATGAAATATTGGGTTACCATTACCATCTAATCACAAAATCCGCAATCACTTAGTTGCCAACCCAATGCAAAATACCGTGAGTCGTCCGTAGCGTTCAAATGTAGTGGCACTTTTCCACGCCGAATCTGAACAGCGCGATCGCGCTGCTTGCCACTCAAACAACTAAACACTGACACGAGGAACTTACAATTCCTGGCCATTCGTGACAAGGCGAGTCTCGTCATAGGTGGAATATCACAAAATGCTGAAGATACAACGAAGAAGACGCAACGTTAGAAACGAACAGCGAGCGTCTTCGGGGACCAAAATGAGAAGATTCTGATCGAAGATGATAGCGAATGCCGCGAGTCTACACGCGAAAATGCCGCTTACTTTATGGTAAGAAGAAATAAGCTCGAGGATGGACGCGAAGAAGATTGGAGGAGCAAAGTGGCAAGCTTTCGACGCAAGATGATAATGCAGCAAGTTCGACAGACTACTCAGCAATATGGAAACTCTGGAGAAAAATTTCAGCCACCTACGCGTGTTGCTCCAAGCGGGTGGCGAAGAAAGTAGGACAAGGTTCGCGATAATCGTATCGCGACATGTTAACACCGAGGTGGTGCGCACGAATGCATGCAGAGCAACGCGATAACGCGTTGCACGAGCTTTACTAACGTAATATCGCGAGGAAGAGAAACGAGCGTCGCGTGAATCTGTGAAACTAGCTTTCTTCGGCGGCACGATACAGTTTTAACTTGATAGAATCGTGTATAGTTAACGTCAGGTTGAGTTCGGTGACCTGCTGTACCATGACCTTGAAATCTTGCGCAATTCCTGGGCATAAGTAACGCGGAAAAATAATCTACCGATTGAAATTTCTACGAAATAAAATTCGTCTTTTCGTACGCGATCTATTTGCCGAACGATTTCGAAGACTCGAAAATTCGTCGTCCGATCGATAAGCCAGTGCGTGCCGATCTAAATAGAAAAATAACGAAAAAATAAGTCGAAAATATAGAATGAAGTTTGTTCGTAAGACGCACCATTTTCGATTAAATCGCATTTGAAAATATGTCGACTATGTGCCAACTTGCATTTTTAGGTTAGGGACAATTTAAAGTTAGGGAAGATATTCTGCGATCGGTTGACGGATACGAAGTAAGATGGGAGAAATTATTCGCGATCTATCGTTAAACAGACCTGAAAGAGGGCGGAAGAGATTGTTCGTGAAGGAACCGATGAATAAAAAATTCATTGGGAAGTCGAAGTACCAAGAAATCAGTTCACAGTATCGATGAATCGGTGAAGCGAGTTTCAATGGTGAAATCTTTCAAGCACTCGGCCCCTTTCCACAGTTAATGCTCTTCAGCGACTGACACACGGGTCTTTGTGCTCCAAGAGCCTCTCAACCCTTGACTAGATTCAATTCCTCCGACTGAAGACACTAAAACATTCAAATGCAACGACTTGTGTACTATTTTGCCTCTTTCCTGTGCGAAAAATCTCCTAACGTTTCTTTATCGGTTGAGCAGATCGTCCAGTGGTTTCGTCGAAAAATAGTTTATTCAAAGAATCGGAGATCCGAGAAGATGATGGGCGGAGCTTGGAAGAATCTTCTGCCTCTTGGGAAATATTTCGCGATAAAAATTAGGCTAGGCAGAAGAGTTGCTTCGAACTTAATTTACAGATGAAACTGTGCTCAAAGGGTTTGCAACCAGTGGAATAAATTTGAGAAGCTAAGATGGAAGATTCCTGGAACGAAATTTGAAAATACAGTAGTCACGAAGGCAACGAAATTTTGTAAATAAACGATGTTGAAACAGCGACAAATGAACTTAATTTACAGATTTTCCATGCAATCTTTTTTAAATAGCAACGAAAAATTAGAAGCTCGAGCTTTCGACTAACTAAATTCTGAGGTCTGAAAAATCGGATCGACTAAACTCACCTCAAATCTAACCAAAGACACAGACCATCCAAGAAAAGAAATCAATTACAAACACGATATCCATACAGTTTCAAACAGACGGAATATGCCTTTGAATTTTTCCAATTTCCTAACCCTGTCCCTCTACGGATCACGATCAGAGTCCTGCATTTAATCGTAAGAGATTCAACCGGCGAGTCAGGTTATGAAATATGTCTTAAAATGGCGGAAATATTAGGAGAACGAATAGATCGAGCACTATTACATAGCGCCGTGGAATGATGGCAACGGTGGTGGCGAGTGGCTAGCAACAGAGCAAATATTTTTGGAAGATCGATTCCCAACCCCTGGCCACCCACGCCGCCCGTTACACAGTTTCGATTTCAGCGGCTGGCAGAATGAACGTAGTCGGAAGATGGAGCCTCCGTATACGTACTCGTGACGCTCGAATCTGGATCCCGAAAACGCGTGCGGATCGATACGTTGGATTCCTCGATATCGGCGATGCCCGGCCGATAACGTTGCCAACTCGGTCGCCTGTCTACCCCTGATCGTTAATAATTCCTGGTTATGTTGCATGCGATGGCATGGCATAGCTGCCTTTTAATGTCGACGTGATCACACAGCTGACATGTCTGTCGTCCCTTTGAAGGCTAAAGAGAGGGAGGTAACAGGAGAGCAAGAGAGAGGGAAGAAGGTCACACAGATTGGATCGTCACTGATGGTTAGTGGAACTTGCCATAGAACCAACCATCGTATTTAGCAACCTTCCAACTAGGTCCATAATCTCAACATCGCAGGAGCAACGGATAGCTCCTGAGATGAGCCTCAGACCAGGGCCAGCAAAATTTGAGGAATTTCTGGATTTGACAGTTTAAGTTAACCGAGAAAAGAAGCGAGGCAGGGACGACGAGAAAGCAGGAATAGGCTGTCAGCGAGGATCATGCAAGCGCAGAGCGCGTGAAAAGTCGACTCGACGACCACAGTTTCTAGCGTGAGAGAGGAAACCGCGAGAGTGGGAGAGAGACAGAGGGAGACAGAGAGAAATCAATAAACGGTCTATCGACGAACTGTGGCTGGTCGGGCAGAAATGTATCGAGCTTAAAGTCTAGTTAGCGAGATTCTTCTCGAGGACATGGACACTGACGATTCTCTGTCGTTTCCCGTCCAACGAGTCGTTTCTCCGATCATGTACCTCCTGAAAATGTTGATCCTCTCACTGTTGATTGCTGAATAGTAGGGTTGCACGCCACGCGTTCCACTCGAATCCTGCACCTCGCTTCGATGATGAAATGACTCCGAAACGCGAGCCCGGAGGTTCCCGACACACGACTTAACACACGGTAGCACAACGGGGGGTTGTTTCGCGACGATTTTAAAGAGACTGGACTGGCCTCGGTAAAGCCTCGCGCCACTGTAGCCCGCTATAGTTAAAATATCGACCATTTCGTGGACCCCCGCCCGTCCTCGGACCAATCCCGAGAAAGGCCGCGCCTGCGCCACAGGCAACCCGACTGACATCTCGAAACCGGAGATAGAACCCCGTTTCACGGGGGAGGGACACTTGTTGATTTCCTGGTTCGTCGGCGCCTACGACAATGCGCATGAATCTCACTAATTCTTTTGTAGATGTTTCCTTTATCGATCGTAGGTAACTTATCTACTGTGACTTGCCTATTCCATTTCTGCGAACTCTTTCTATCGGTTCCTGTAATACGGACAACGAATTGCTCGTCGACAGGCGCTGTGAGATAATTTCAGAAATTTGCAAGAGTGTGCCAGTATTATTGCAGAGAAATTAGCAACATAGCAACCACGATTGTTTGTTTGATAGAAATTTGACTTACTTCTCTCGTTGATTATTCGTGTAAATTCCAATGAATGTTATTTTCTTCGTTATTTGCAAAATCGTTTTGAACATGTCTCACAAATCCTGGAACTCGGGTAGCAGTCAGGCGAAAGAGAAAATCGTGTTGGAGCCGGAAGTAAGCTGCGAAGATCAAGTAATAAAACGATCACATTCCGGACGTGAGCTGGACGAAGCGAAGCTCAGGCAAATCTCAACGTAAAATTCATTTGTGTTGTTCGACGAAAACATAAAAAGAATGGAAAATGTTTGAAAAATTTTTATTCGTAGCTTGAGGAAATGCCGAAGCGTGGATGGGACTTCGAAAAGACCAAAAATTAGCCACGTTCGCAGACTAAAGACTCAGAATTTAAAAGTCCCACAGATCTCCGAGAAAATTGTTAATATCGTCAACATTCTGCAACACGAAAATTTTCTGGATGTGGTCGATCGGTTCTTCAAACCGAAATCCAACAAACAACCACGTACCAAAAAGCCACAATCCAAAAAATCCAATGTGAGCAAGAATCTTGACTGCAAAACTAAAGTGCTCGTGTCCACTGATAATAACACTGTGCAATTTGTCAAAAATAAATAATTTTAACCTGCGAACTGGGTCGTCTCTTAATTAAGGTCTTAATGACTAAACTCGTAATGACAATTTTGCAAATAACATTTCTTTTCAACAAATAAAATAAAATGAACTTTCACTTCTCCGATTAATAAATTAATAGATTAAAATTGTGATTTAAAGTGAAAATATTTTTGCAATACGTGCCATTTTATTGCACATCTAGCTTGAAATTAGGCATGAACACAATCTTGTGAAACACATACATCACGATATTAAAAATATTTCTCAACGTTTTATTTACAATAAAACTGTCTTCGATCGATAAAATTCGATAAAGTGTGCATCGTCTGGCGTTGCCTCGTTAGCTGTCGCTGCAGCCCTCGTAGAGTGCAGGAACATAAAGCCAACTATAATTCGACTATTCTCTCATTTGTAATTCTACGCATCAGGGCAGTAAGAAATATTAAAGAATTAGATTTCTAAACTGTCCAGACTGTCCAATTTTTGAAAAATCCGTCGACTAATTCATTGACCTAACCTAGTCAGCTAACAGTGTATATAAAATTTGATTACTTATAACTCGATAAATAAGCTTCAAGTGATGTTTCAACGCGTTAACTTTCTTCAGTGCTTTGATGTCTACAGTCACTCACAATATCGTCCATTCTTTTTGAACACAGTGTCAAATAAACAAGGAACTCGCTATAAAATCTTTACACTTCGAGTCCCTGTTAGCATTGTACCATTCAGGCGTTCAGCATCAGGGAGACAATACTAATCACCACTTTTGTTTCCACAAAATCAAAGCTTGCTTTCGGTGTCGTCGTAGATTATTGCGGGGTTCGAGGCAGCCCATTTCTCCTTGAAAGCTAGTTCCTCCTTCTTAGGCCTGGTCTTCAAACTTTGGATACCAGCATAATGTTCCTCGATCTCTTTCAGAGATCTGCCTTCTGTTTCTGGAAGGATGAAGTAAAGGAGTGCTCCGCCAGCGAAGTTAATTAAAGTGTAGAAGAGGAAGGTTCCTGGAAGAGACATCCCGTTGACCATGTACAGGTACACTTTGTTGGCGATGGAATTGAAGATGTAGCCTATGGATCCAGCCATTCCTGTTGCGCTACTTCGTACCTGGGTCAAAATCGGAACATTGTCAGAAGATTAGTTTCTCACAACTTCCTGACTCGTTAGTTAGATAATTTTGTTTACCTTAGGTTTGCGTTAATAAAATAGACGTACTTTCGTGAGGGAATCCTTAGGTTAAATTAGGACGATGTTCAGGAAACGATGGACCGATTTCCATGCAGGAGATTTTGGTTCGAGTTGTGTTTGGATTACGTTTATGCTAAATTATGCTCACGATTGACTGAAATTTGCGTTTGAGAGATGGCAAACCTACCTTTACGGGGAAGACTTCACCAGCCAGGACCCAGGGAAGCAGCCTGATTCCAGCGTGAGATAGAAAGGCAGCTCCAATCAGCAAAGTCATTGGAATCCAAGAAATACTCTCCGTATTGATCATATCAGCCTCAGTCAAATAGCCATAGACAGCCACCAAACAGAAACACATGCCGGTACCACCGACTGAAAGGAATGTCAGCAACCGCTTGCCGGTGAAATGAATGGCACACACAGAGAGCAGTGTCCCTACCAATTCTGCTAGGCCAAGAAATACAGCAGCCGTGTATTTGTCTAGAGGCGCGTCTAAACTGTCAAAGATCAATACAGCGTACGTCTGAAGAGTACTGGTTCCTCCAAAAGCGCCAATGCAAAAGGCACTACTGACCAAGAGGAAAGGCACGTAGAAGGTTCTCTTGCCAAAGGATTTCCAGATCTTTTCTTTGGACTCTGCTGGCTTCTGTACATCTTGGCAGATGATTCGAAGCTCCGACTGTACGTGGATCGGACTGACCCAACCGCGAAGCCAACAGAGAGCTCGCTCGGCTTCCCTTTGGCGGCCTTTTGCTGAAAAATCGTTTCACGACACTTAAATCGGTGACTAATTTAGGCTGTTAATTCATACAACAGCAACAGCGTAGTTGTAATGTAACTTGGCGAGTCTGACCCTAACTATAGGCAAGTTATGAACTGAACCGTGGAGACTATGAGTCTAACTTGAACTGAACTACAAAGTTCATGAGATTAAACGCTAGAAACACCAATCAAAGTCGTCATACTACATATTTTGCGGACCAAACGTAAAATCATTTGCATCGTAAGGAAGAAAGAGGATTTACCAACAAGCCAATAAGGACTCTCAGGCACCAGGCAGAGGGCAACTAAGCAAATAAGTGGATAGATGAGATTGATCATGGTGACAATCCTCCAGTTGCCTAATTTGCCACCCAACATCTGCGTGAAAATGCCCAGGATCACAGCCATGGTGGAAGTGGCGGATAGCATGCCACGTAAATGGGGCTGCGTCACTTCTGCCACATAGGTCATCACAGGTGCTTCTAGGAGACCACCAGTTAGACCAGTCATGGCCAGTGCTATAAACAACATCTCAGCTGTCGTCGCATAGTAAAAGATGATCCACGCTGCTATAAATGGAATGGTGGTCAGCATCATGGTCCTCTTTCGTCCTAGGAACTGCGACACTGGCCCACTAGCGAAGCAACCGATTGGGACCAGGAACAGATTCAGGCTACCTATATTGGTATAAGGAGAATGTTTCATGAATTCTAGGCTTTTATGACCTTCTACGAGTTTACGTAGTCGATAGACAAGCTGAAAAGCTGGCCAGATATAAGACAGAAGTGAAAGGAATTCCACTGTGGAAGCCTAATTACGAGCCAGACGTCTAAATTGATGCTTTTAGTCACACTCTAAAGTCAGATTTCCTTTCAAACCAGTTCTAAATCTGGTCTCCCAGTCAGTTGGACTTTGATGCTCTGAGATCAGCCTAGTTTTGACATTTCAAGCCGGATATTAATTCGAGTCCTGCTGATTTTGGTGCACCATATTCAGCTGCCAAGTCGATCTAAGTTTCAAGGCAAGCAAACAACATGCTCACTTATCCACGTCAACTCCTCCATAGTGACCGGGATCTCAGCGTTCTTCTTTTGTAGTTCTGGGATTAGGACCGTGGAAAATCCCAATGTTGAACCAAAGGTGAGCATGAGCAGGTTCTTCGCGCTCACGGCACAGAACTGTGGAAATGCCTGGCGTAGCCTCGACGTTGTCAGACCCTCAGAGATGCCATTTAGCTCAGCAGGTGACGTTTTTTCGTCATTGCTAAAACGCAAAACAGAATGACGAAACTAGTAAAAGTGCTTCAATGAAAGGGCATGCCAAACCCAAGGGACCTTGTCTGTCAGCTAAAGAAAAAATAGCGTATTTGATATTTGGCACCAAACGTTCTTCAATAAATTTCGTCAAAAACGATCCCACCTAGCATTGTCGAACAAAATTCTGTGTTCTATTTTTGGAATGAAAGATACTTCGATAAATTTTTGCAAGTTATCCAGATTCTATGTGTACATCTAACGATGCAGACAGGTGGATCAACGATAGATGGGATCCAAATGAGCGTAGTTGGATCAACACCGAGTCGCAGGTTTAATTCCATTGAACGTGATTTTCTTTCTTCAACGAAACTGGGTTAACAACGATTGCGCAATGGTTATCCAATCGCCCAATTAAGTTCCACCCGGTCGGGTTCCATACATTAAATGGGTAATTTAAAACCCGTAATCCAACACCTGCCCTTGCTGACACCGACAAATTTTCCAACGCGTCGTAATTACTGGATTGGCAACTAAGTGATTGCGGATTATGTCATTAGCACCTAATGACAAGACCCGCAATCACTTAGTTGCCAACCCAATAGAATCGCAATTGAGAAAGTGTGGTATCTGTCGAATAAAATTATTGCAAAATTCTTGAAATATTCTTCCGAATGTATAAACCTTGACGAAATTGTGGCCGGAAAAATTATGCTACAGAAAGATGGTACAATTTCCAAAATTGATAAAATATGATAAAATTGAATAAAGTAAAAAATTGAAAAATAAAATAAAATAAAAAATTGTACAATTTCGTATGAGAAATTATTATCTGAAAATTCTACAATTTTTAATAATAATAATATACTGTTTTACTTGTATTTGTATTAATAGATCATTTTACTATTTTCATAGGCTTTTTCTTATTTTTCTAAAAATACAATTTCCAGATTTGTCTGTAATTTACAGTAACGTTTTTGCTAAAAAGGGAAAAATTCACGTTGCAAGAAGATTCACGCTCGTCGTTCACCTGTGCCTAGCATCATCAGTGGCTGGCTTTTTCGTCATTGACATAGTTCTCTTTTTGCGTGAAAGGAACCGGAGGCTCTCGACTATTGCGGTTGCATAAGCGATGCTACAAGTGCGTTCTCTCAGTGTTTTGTGAAATTTCAAATGATCGGTTTGCCAGGTCAATTAAAGAAATAACTACACCGACTTGCTCACATTTATCATCTTGCTGTAAATGTCGACAATTGTACAATTCTATTTGTTTTAAATTAAAAAATTACAAATGTTACATTTACCGGTGCTGAAACGTAGAAGCATCGACCAGATGAAATCTGAACTTAACTTTTATCGTAGAACGTGTCAACATAAACGATACTTGAAGAAAAATAATCGATCATCTTTGTTATCGAGAATTTGGCAAACAATTTCTGGAACTCTGAATTATCCTCTATCAATCAATAAATTCACTATTTTTTATATTTTTGGAAATTTTGTCACTAATGTGGATAAGTTGAAACATGACATAAAAAAATGACATAAAATGAGACGAAGATTATTTTATCAGTATAACACGGAGAATACATATTTGGTGAAAATATCTCATATTTTACGTGCGAATAATAAATCTCTATAATAAATATTTTTTATATTCACTGTGATTATAAATAAATTGTTTATTGTACTTTTAATATGAAATGTAATTACCCTCCGCAAATTATGGGATTTGGATTGTTTCTAAAATTTAGTAATTAAAAAAAAAATATATATATATAAAATAGACAAAATTGTTACCAAAATAATCTGATAAATTGATACAAAAAGGAGAGGAAGCATGAGGCAGACCTGTTTCGTCTACTACTAAACTTAGAAAAGGAGATTCACAGCAGACGAAGTGAAAATCATAACTTGCATTAAAACGAGTTCTGTGTTGATTAGATCGCCTGAGGGATCCGGTTATGCAGTCATACAGGTGGCTGCACGTGAAAGGAAAAGTGGCATGTAGAAAAGTATAGTACACTTCCATCAGTATTATTAAATATCGTGACTAGACTGCGAATGCCAGTTATTTTTATATTTCATTTACACGTCAAAAGGAAGCTTTGTTCTAACATCGATATTGTTAACTACTAGTATAACAAGTATTTTAAATATATCAGTAGTTAACAATATCAGTGCTAAAACAAAGCTTCCTTTTGACATGTGAAAAATGTACTTAATATACTACTAATATAATAAGTATATTAAATATATTTATATACTAGTAGTATATTAAATATATTAGTAGTTAAGCATATTAATTATATTAAATATACTATCAATATTTAATAAGCAATATGACGTATATATATTTGATTGTAATATCATTATTATATTATTATTATCAATTATAATTTAATATTGTGTATGAATTTAATATTACAAGTATACATAATAAGTATATTAAATATACTTAGTGTACTTAGCTACTAGTATAGTTAGTATACTTAACTATTAACATACTTAATATACTTAACTACTAATATAGTAACGCTAACATTGTTAACTACTAACGCACTAATGTTAATACTTCTGATCGTAATCATCAGAGTTCAATTTTGTTCATTCTGACGCAATTCCAGTTCGATGACTCGAGTAAGCAAGTGTTCGCACAATTTTCAGCAACAGCGCATTGAAGGTTCGTTGGGCCAGATTTGACCCGAGCGCCGAGCACAGCGCACGAATGGAATCGAAAGAGGCGCCTGTAGCGTATCAAAAGATTAGCGAAAATAACTCGTTACGAGCTTATTATGTTCTTACACCTATGCGATATATATTTCTGGCGTGATAAGCATAATTCCATGATAATATTTACGATCCTTATTATTCTTGTTCTACACGCTCATTTTATTCTAATCGCGTTTTATATCGTTTTATCAATGCGATCTCGGGCCTACGATGAGATTTTAGGAATCTGAGAATTAGGAATTTGAGGAATTTGAGAATTAGGAATTGCTGCGTCATTTCGATTCACATCGTCGAGTGAAATTGTGAAAATAATGCTCCCTCGATTAGTTACAACGTGATTACACGATGTTTCCATGTATCTTTTACGATAGCTACGCGACGATGTTTAATTAGCTCGATGATTGTTTAGGATATCTTGGTTTCCTCTCTTCAAAGAAACGCTGTTGTGTTTGGATTGTTCTTTGTGGAAATGCTCGGTCAACGCAACATTGGCTCTTAAGAACGACGTTTTAACAAGCAGCGTGTAAACTGATGCTTTCACATCGTCATAAAGCTTATCGACATTCTTATGGCATTCGAGGAGCACGCGTTTCTCTTATCATGGACTAAGAACATAATTTCTGATATAGCTAAAGTAATAATAATCTTGGCTAAGATTTCTAAAGATTCGCCCCGCCACCGATTGTAGCATTGTATTATCTACTTAGATTTATTTTATTTGTAGATGCCACGTTAAAATGAAGTTTCATATATTACGTGTATTGCGAGTGTACGAACGATTTGAAAACCAGCAATAAATCATATTAAAGACAGCTACTAATAACGTGAGAACGAGACTTTTATAATTATAAACGATAACGCCTTTTAATTTTTTCTTCTTATCTGAATCGCAATTTTATTCTTCGTTCAGGTTATGACTCGTGGTGCGACACTAGCGCCACACGTGCCGATTACTAGTCCGCGATATGCATATTTATCTATATAAATAATTGCTACTGTATCCTTTGAATTACTTATTGCTTTTCCCTTATTTATTGTCTATTTTTCAAACATACCTGCGACTATTGAACCCACTTCTAAATATAATAAAAATGATATTTTACAAATTTGCAGTTTACGCGAAAGTTTCGTCTCAGCGTTGAGATATAATCTTGCTGCGGTAATCGAATGTATATGTTTTGTTTGCTTAGATAAATAGAGGATTGTAGTGATATCTTGATCCTGTTCGTACTTCCTAAGAAGCACCTAATCCAGGAATTAGTTTTATCTCGAGAAATATCGATCGATTTAAAAGTAATCGCCTTTATATTTCGCCGTTACCCAACGACGTATCGTAAAACTACAAAAATCCTGATTATTTTCAAAGAACCGTAAGACTGCTGGCTTTTTAGTCCAACTGAACAATCTTTTTCGTAACGAAAAATAATATGAAAGATAATAAACGACAATAAGGAAGCTAATTAAAAAAAGTATAAAAGTAGATGTGCAATATACTGTTATAATATTCAGTCTGCCATGTTCTACAGGCATTTTCTTATCTCTTTTACAATTTGCAACTTGTTTTAGAATTCGCATTAAGTATGCTTTGTAGCCATTTATCATAACAGATTGCTGCGTTCATTATGATTATATTTATGTTGATTGCAATTATGTATATCTACTATACATTTGTAAGCTCCTTACTCCTACGTTCCACTTTGTTTAAACGAAACTTAAATCAAGCAATCTTCGTCATGAAGAATCATCGACCAGAACTGAGATAACAAAGCAATCTGAAATTTGTAAGAAAGTAAATTTTCATTGTCCATTTTGACCATTTACAGTTACTGTAATCGGTATTTGTACGTGACGCCATGTTGATACGACCTTCATGGTGTCCAGTTACCGTCATAACGCGTCATCGTTGAGGAAAGAGCCTTGAACGCGTCGAGTTTCGTGAAAAATTCATGGACCTTGATTTAAAGAATCGCAGGAGAAAAATGAAGAAAAATCTGACTTAAAAGCGGATTCAACATTTCCATTCGAACTGGTCGATTCTCGAAGTTGTACTTTCAGAAAATTATTTTTCAGTTTAATTGAATTTTGTTAGCTCCCGAGCCGATAATTTTGAAAAACTTTAAAAACTGGTCGATTTGAGAGAAATTTTTTAATCTTGATATTCGACAATAGCAATATTTCTATATTTGAGAATTTGCCAATTTACAGCAAATCTGTGGACCTGACCGATTTTTCACGTTTTCATCTGCATTAAATCTTTTCTTAATTTTGAACAAAAATTCCAGATGGAGGACTTTAAGGATTTTAAAAATTGACCAATTTGAAATTGCCAATTATCAATTTTCTAAAATACATCTTTCTATTCTTCTACGAAAGTGATTCGCGCGTATTAGAGCAGCAGTTATCGTCGCTTATCTTCACTTTATCAGTTCGTTAATCCAACTTTCCACAAAATTCGGCTGCGTACGAGTTCGTTTGATGCCACGCGCGTGCTCCGCGTTTTTCATTCTACCGCGATTTCTTCGAACTATTACGAACGAATTATTCGGCTTAGGGAAAACGACAGGTAAATTTATCTTCCGATTTCCCTTCCCCGTTTCTCCGCCGATGATAATTTTTAATGGCATCGATGAAGTCTCATCTGCATCTTACAGTTTATCTGCATTTTACAGTCTTACAACGAAGAAGGAAATGATCGCGTAATTGCTCGACCAAGGACGCACCTGAAGAAGTTCCAGTCACTTTTTCTCGCTTTTTATGAAACGATATTTCGCTTTAAGATTCATGCACGTTTAAATAATTTCCAGTCTAAAATAATGCATCTAAGTCCTCAGATGTACGAACGAAATTTTTTCGTTTGATAACATTGCATAAATCGTATTTCAGGTCTACGAGTATTAAAAAAATCGCAGGTACAATGTCCAGGTAGAAATAAAGTTACACTCGTTGTTTGTAGAATAACTATATATGAGAGATCACACGTGTATGCAAATTTTTCACAAATTTCATCTTTTAGTTGATCGTTTGTCCAACACAGAGGAAAGGACATTATTCTATTTGCATTCTGTTAGCAATGCTCCACGGTTTACCTCATAATCACAGAAAAATAACCACATAATCGTGCTACAATGTTCATTGAGGAAAGGAATCTAACCTAACCCCAACCTAACCCCAACCTAACCCTAACCTATTCGTATAGTTTGCTTAGCGATGCATATTCTAATAGCCTGCAGATGAAGGATGCTTTTATGCAATTTTGTACGACTCAAAGCATTAATCATGCATCGATAATCAATTAAACGACACGCCAAATGACGATAGTCTTTATACGATTTAAAATTCTAGAGAAGTACGTGCCATTTGGATTGCCATTTTGCTGGCTAGTCACTCGTGGCCTCAACTCGGACTTCTCAAAGATATCGCTCGAGTCCTTCTAATCCTTCGATGTCAGCAGGATCCTTTTGATCCTCTTAATCCATCGAATCTTTTCCAAGTCTGCCTCGAACAAAGAGAACAGAAACCAATGGAACTATTGGGTTGGCAACTAAGTGATTGCGGGTTTTGTCATTACAACTTAATGACAATATCCGCAATCATTTAGTTGCCAACCCAATAATAAGCCAAATGGCCGGTTGCGTCTCATTTAAAAAAATGCTTCCCCATGAAAAACAGCAATCGTCACCTGTCATTTTTGATTCCACGTCCGAACAACGGTAGGTTGTGTCAAAGACGAGTAAAACAGATGTTAAGCGATCATTTCGCAACGACGATCCACGATACCAAGGCGAGTATCGCGTTCCGAAAAGCTCATTTGCTACGGATGGTCGTACAACGTTTCGATTATTGTCGCGAGATTTTCCTGTTTGGTGCGAAACGTAGGACAAACAGCAGCACGCGCGCTATTAGGAAACGCTGCGACAGTTAGCTCGTTCAATAGTTTCCAGAAATGTTAATTCTCTTCAAGCGGGGAAACACCGCTCGATCTTTCTGTTGACTTTGAAAATTAAGCGTTCGTCGCGTCATATCTGAGCCAGTAGCACGTTGCAACGTTAAAAAATATTTCACGTTGCGGCAACGTACGAGAAAAGCTTCGTCAGTACGCGCGACTCTGCCCCGATCCTTCACAGAGTGTGTTTCGTTGTCGAAACCAGAACAACGTCGAAGTATTACAATTTTTAGTGGAATTAACATTTTATCATTTACTGATTAATAATAGGCTGTTGGCGGAATAAAAAAATCATCGAAATACAAAAATAGCTTTAATTTTGAAAGTTCGAAATCAGGTGGGACACAGGTTAGTTAGGTTGGCAACTAAGTGATTGCGGATTTTGTCATTAGGTGGCATTGACAA